AATCTAAACCTGTGTGTTTGGTTATTAAATCATATTATAGTATAGGTACACTTTTAAAACCAAACGAACACTCGGATTACTCACAGAAGTATTAACGTTGCCAGAATTTTGTAATGGAGAAGAAGAAAAAAATTTGAAAAAAAAAAATCGACAAAACATTGCGGGTGTTTAATATATCGTCGCTACGCTCCTTGTACTAGATATACTGTTCATGGATAGGCGTCTTGTTGTACGTGGAAAGTTGGGAAAATAAAATTGAATATAGGATAACATAGTTTATATTTGTACGATACGATGATAAATCAAAGCTAATAAAAAACGATTTTGAGCGGAATTCGACTAATAGTGTTTTAATATACCTAATAATCTCAATATTACCCCCTAAAAATCCCAGTTGAATTTGAATATACAAACTATTCTGGGTATACCATTTTTTAGGTTCATGATGAACTTAGCTAATATTAAATTATTATGATTCCTATAATTAGGTTTATCTCAAATTTCTGGTGGAGAAGTTGCGCACAGATAAAAAAAATATCTTTGTAAAACCATAGGTTTCTAAATTATTGATTCTGAATTATTCTATCTGTATCTCGTATGAACAAATATTACATATATCTCTTAAAATATTTTTTAAACATAAACGAACCCAAAGACTAATGGTTTAACAGATATAATAGGTAATTTCGATACAATAAACTATGGAGATATTTATGTACCCCACTGAACTATTTACTTCAGTAATATATACGAATATTCGGTTGACAATAAGAAAGTCATTCCAAAATGTGTATACAATATTATCTATTCAACTCCTGAAATTATATTGCTACTAGTTTAATAAGTTATCTATCCAACACCTACAAATTAATGTTTAAAATTCTATTGCTATCGTTCAATTTTGTACCTATGTTGATTATTCAGCTCCTGAAATATTGTTCAACTCGTCTGTTCATTGCCTATCTAACTTTCGAAATTCTATTGCTATTATTTAAAAAAAAAAATGTTTATACCAAATAATAATTAAATACAAATATTGTCAATGTTCAATTCTGAGTTTTCACACAATATGCAAAATTAACTATAAAACAATATTTTTGTTTCGATCATAGGTAGCTCCTTTTAATTATTGTATCTTTTCTAATTTGATGTTTGATAAACATAATACAATTATATTATAATGTAGGTACCCAGTACATGTAATAAATCAAGGACATTATTAATTAGGTATTTATAGGTATTAAACAGTATTAAATTATTTTGAAACTAAATATTTCATATTAATTATTAATTATATAATATGGCATGGGAGTTGTAATTTGTATGATATGTATGACATATGGAATTTATCATTATAAATTTATTATTATAAAGGTATTTTTGTAAACAAGTCTTGCCAAATTAAACCAATAAACTTCTTTCTACTTACTGTAATATGTCTAAATCTTTGAGTATTCATTTAAGATAATCGTCACTTAGAAATTGAATAGTATTAATATTATTGTTAGCCAAATAGGTTAGTGTTTATTTAGTGTTACTTATCTAGTTACATATCATGCCACGTGTTACTAATCAAGTTATGTATCACGTGATACTAATTTATTTATGTGTTATGAGTTACTAATTTGCACATACATTTTTTGATTATCTGAAATTTATAATTAATAGCTGCATTGGCCAAATATACATCATAATTGTTTTGTATTTCTTTTAAAACATTCTACAAATCTATACATATTCTATATACCTACATATTAATTATAATTATTATTTTTTCAAACTAAACTTGTCAAAACATAATTGTACACCATGAAACGATAACTGTTATTGCAATTGTTTGATTATTACCTGTTTATTAAATTATATCTACAGCAAAATTATTACACCATTGAACATCATTATCGGCGGTGGAACAACACGCCACTCCCACAGAATGAGTAATTTGTTCTATAATTTATTGGTCGACATCGGTCGGCTACTATCGTCGCCGCCGTGCATACAGAGAATTGAATTAATTCAATTATTCACAACGTATTATTTCTAAGTATTTTCTACTCGTATTATCTACTGCATTTACGGTCACCTGTCGCACGCTATAAGACATTATTATTTTTTGTTCACCAATATGTAAACGTATCATTTGACACGTATGAACGGCTGTTAAATGCTATGTTAATACTAGCTCATTATGTATACCTGGTGGCGTGATCGGCGACGGCTGAAATTGTCGGAAATGGGACGGACATGCGCGAGTTTCGACCGGTTTTCGTGTGCCACTTGGCGCGTTCTCATCTGAACAATAGTATAGTGAAGAAATGTCTACAAATGTTTAAAAAAAAACCACTTCGCACGTGGGTGCAGCTATTATAATGTAGGTGGGATGTTGGTAAGGTAGGATACAGATGGGAATTGAATGTATATCTGTAAGTAACGATAAACCATTGTTAACGAAAAACGATTCTAAGCGGAGTTCAGTTGATAGTGACGCTTTGTCACATATATATATGTCATGTTATGGTAAAGTAATTAAATATGCAGTATATATTTTCTTTAATAATATTTATTTAATATTGTAATGATTTTCCCGTTTTTTCCTGGTTTTTCACATTTTTGGAAAAACTCTTGGAAAAATCGAAAAATTACTTACTTTAGGAAACCTTCACAGTCAGATTTCTGTTTGGAAAAATCGGAGCAAAATTGCTGGTAGAAAAGATGTATACAGAAAAAAAAGGTCATAATATTTTTTACCAATACTTAAAATTCGTACATTTTTCATTTTTCCTATATTTTATCCCGGTCTTTCACAGATATTATATTAAGTATTTTTCTAGTGTTTTTTTCGGAACTTTTTTAACGTTTTTAAATGGTTTTTTTTTATGGATTTTGAGTGCAATAAGTTCCGAGTCCTAAAGTAATGAGTAATGACTTAGTACTAGGATGTTGATGAAATTTAATCTGCATCGTGATTTGTATCTAATGCCATTGGTTATAAATCAATAAGTAATCAATGCTAATACCCATGATAATTATTGTGCAAATTAAATTTGGGCGGGTTATATTTGACCAATAACTACAGAGTTTTAGTTATGGATAATTTAATAAAATATTTGATCGTGTGAACCGGGCTATAATATACTTAAGGGAAGTCCTCAACTCGCCGTGTCATTTCGTTTCGTGTGTTTTGAACACGACAAGTTTGTTAATAGGTCTATGTGAAGCACGATTTAAGATATACAGGTTGCATTCCGAACTCCCATAATGTGACCCCCGAACTAACTATCTGAAACAGTTGTTTCTTCTGAACTATTAGCACATCACTAGGCGAAGTTTATAGTTTCTATCACCATTTAAGATATACATTAGTGATATATAAATATCTATTTTGTATAGTAGCTAACTGTTATAATAACAATAATACTAGTCACTAAATACTATTTCAAAAATACAAATTATGAATAATTAAAGAGTTGTAGAATACAATTTCTGTACTCTAGTAGAATATATTTTCTGGATCATTAATCAATTCCTTCGTCAGAAAAAAAAATTACTGGAATATATCCTGTAAGTAATCCGATCATAATTCATAAAGACAATTGGTTATTAGCTATATTTTATATAATTTTAGAACTTTTGTTACTGTGCAATTTCTAGATTTTGGAGGCTTTACAACTTAATAGCTGGAGAACGAGTAGCAAGCACAAACAGATGTTACTACAGTTTACTAAAATTATTCAAGTCAAAAGTATTATCGAGAAAATCGAAGATAACTTTATATACAAGCTACTTGAGACCAGTGTTGATATATGGCTGTGAGATGTGGGCTACTACAAAAGGTGACTACTTTAAATTTAGTACAACGGGAAAAAAAGTACTCAGAAAAATATTTAGCCCAGTGTATAATATGGAAACGAAAATATACGAAATAAGATATAATAATAACTTGCTAAATATATATGGAAGACCAAATATATTATCGTACAGTAGAAGCAATAGGAAATAATGGCCTCTACACGTTTGGAGGGTAGATAGGAAAATTATATAACGAGTCACAGAATATAGAATTGTGAGGAAAAGACCTATAGAAAGGCCCTGAACAAGGTGGAAGGATGTAATAGAAAAAGATCTAGCAATAGTCCATGAAAATATATAATTAGAGGATGCAAATGATAAGAACCAATGGAATGATATAGTGGTGTAAGCGATGGGCCTACATGGCCCGCTAAGCTGTTAAGAAGAATACATCAAATAACTCTTTTCTTAATTTTGTATTATAATATTCTCGAGAGTCACTTATCTTTTTCTTTTTAATCTCTGTAGTTTTGATGGTAAATCTTTCAAACTTTTTTCACATATATGATAATGAGTTTCACTTTCATATTCTTTTTCTCCCTTCCAACCATTTTAAAGGGGATTATTTTATCTAGATATTACTTTGCAATACAAAAAGCTTCTCTTTAAATTGTTTTTATTAGAAACCTCTATTGCATCATTACTAAAATAGTGTTCCACAAAGTTTTCTTAATTCTTATTTATTCTTTATACTATAACAAAAACTTATTTGTAATTACATTTGATAGGCTCTTGAGTAAGAGCTTACATCACAGGGTTGACAAGTATCCATTTTAGGAAGCATGCACTCTGTCGTGTTTTATTTAATAATAATTTGGTTAAAACACATTATTGTAAGAAAAGGTTTTTTATTTAAATATTACGTTAATGATAAATCAACATGTTGTACGGACTACAGAGACCAGAGAGTAACTAACATAGAATAATATTACTTAACCTAACAAGTAACATGATAACAATACTACCACATAACCTAAACGGTTACATTGATAATATTATTTACATAATCAACTATTATCACATCTCTCTTCTTACAAGCTAATTAACAAAATAATATACTTAATTACAGAATATATTAAAACTTTAAATACTTGAAATATGAACAACATTACAATACATTCTATATTATAATAATACATTTATATTAACTACTATATAATAATATCAAAACTTAAATTACTTATAATCCTTAAGATAAGCCAGGGTCTTTCTAATTCTTTCAGATTTCTTTACTGGTACATTCCCCTCTTTTAATATATTTTCTTTTTCTAAGTTTTCCTCACCACTATTTGATATCAACCTATGTCTTAAAAACCTTCTATTCCTTAATAGTGTTTCGCCATTAACAACCTTAACTTTGAAATTTCTATCATTAGTACCTTTTTCTACTATTAAACCTTTACTCCAAAAACTGTTTCCATTTTTAATTTGGATCCAAACTGGGTCACTCACCTCAAAATGTTCACTCTTTCTGGCTGTTTTATCATACCATTTTTTTTGTTTCTTGGATCTCTTAATTAACTCTTTCTTTACCACACTACTATCTTTAACCTTAGAATTGTCTACATTGGGAGTCAATGACTTCACTTTCTTCTTGAACAATAACTCCGCTAGTGCCGGAATGAATTCACTAATTGGAGTGTTCCTATACTTCATCACACATTTATTCCAATCAAGACCATCTTCTAAAGCTTTACTCAACATTTTCTTTACTGTTTGAATAGCTCTTTCCACCATTCCATTAGATTGAGCATATGTTGGGGAAGAATTAACCAATTCAATATCAAAATCTTTAGCAAACTGTTTGAATTGCTCTGAAGTAAATTGTCTGCCACCATCTGATTTCAAAATCCTTGGAATTCCAAATCTAGCAAACATAGGAACCAATTTTGATATGACCTGTTCAGAGTCAATTTTTTTTAATAACTCTATCTCTATGTATTTTGAAAAATAGTCTATCACCAATAGAACATTTTTATCATTAAAGTAAAATATATCCACACCTAACACCAGCCAACATCCCACTGGGGTTTCACTCGGTTTCATAAACTCTTTACTTTTAGCGCATTGATATTTTGCACACAGATTGCAACTTTTCACTTTCAACTCAATGTCTTTATTCATGTTTGGCCAATAAACTGCTCTCCTAGCTCTCAATTTACACTTCTGTATACCTAGATGATTGAAATGTATTTTATTTAGAACTTCTTTCTGTAAAGATAATGGTACCACTATTTTATTATCTTTTAATAACAGTCCATAACTAATTACTAATGAGTTACGTACATTCCAATAAGCTTTTAAATTGTCTGGTAATTTACTATAGCATGGCCAACTTGTATGACTTTAATGACTTTTAAATCTCTATCATTCTCCGTCTCTTTAACGTATTCTTCCAGTTTTATGGATGACATAGGAAAATGCTTTAAAGTGCTTTGAATTTCAATTTCGGCTACTTCTAAACTATCCTTATTTACCTCCTGTGAATCTCCAATGAATACCCTTGAAAGTGTATCTGCTATATACATGAGGGAACCTCTTTTAAATTGTATATTAAATTCATACAACTGAAGTCTAATTTGCATTCTCTGCAATCTTAAAGGTGTATCTATTAATGGCTTTTTGAATATATACTCTAAAGGTTTATGATCACTTTCTATAGTTATTTTCCTACCATAGATAAACTGATGGAATCGCTCACAACCCCATACTATTGCATATGTCTCCTTCTCTATTTGAGCCCATCTTGACTGTACCTCTGTTAAAGCTTTGGACGCATAAGCAACTGATAAATTACCCTGCAGCAAAACCGCACCTACTCCATACTACGAAGCGTCAACAGACAGCATTATTTCTTTATTTGGATTGTAATATTGCAAAACCGGAACCCTACTTAAATCTTCCTTTAATTTATTCCAAATATTCTCCACATTTAAGCTCCACTGAAAGCTAGAACTTTGTTTTAGAAAATCTCTTAACGGCTTTGTTTTGTCTGATGCATGAGGTATAAATTTTGATATGTAATTATACATTCCTAAAAACCTTTCTATGTCTTTTTTGCATTTTGGTTGCGCCATTTTTTTAATAGCTTTCACTTTATCAGGATCTGGCCTAATACCATCACTTGAAAATTCATGACCAATAAAAATAAATTTACTAGTTGTCCATTCACACTTTTCTATATTTAATTTAACATTATTTTTTGCTAATCTAAACATAACATTCATTAGCCTGGTCCTGTGCGCCTCCTCATTTTTGTCAAAAACAATGATATCATCCATGTATACTTGCACTCCATTAAGACCTTCTAATAATTGGGAAAAATGTTTGTAAAATATCTCTGGTGCCACATTCAGTCCAAACGGAAGTTCACAAAAACAATATCTTCCTAAGGGAGTATTAAAAGTTGTTAACTTAGAGCTCTCTTCACTTAGAGAAATTTGATAAAACCTTTTTTTTGCATCTAATCTACTAAAAATAGTTGCCTCTGACATTTTACCCATAATTTCTTCTACTGTGGGCAAAGGGAAATGCTCTCTTTTTAAATTTTTATTCAAGTCCTGCGGATCTAAACACAATCTCAACTCATTGTTTGGTTTCTTTATTACGACCATAGAATTAACCCAATCTGTAGGAACATTCACTTTTTTTATTATGCCCATTTTTTCTAATTTATCCATTTCAGTTTTAAATTGATCTAGTATCGGAATAGCAAATTTCCTTGGTGTATGCGCCACTGGTTTAGCATCACTTTTTAATTCCAAATTATAGTTTTGTTTAAAATTCCCAATACCCTGAAAAATGTTTTTAAAGGTTTTTTTCTATTTCCCATTTTACATTTACGTTATTAGGGTTTCTTTGACAGAAGTCTACTCTATTAATTAACTGAAGTTGCACACATGTATCTAATCCTAAAATTGGTACACAATCATTATTATTTACAACAAAAAACTCTAAATTTCTCTCCTCGATTGACTTAATTTTACATAACAAATTAATTTTATCTACTGCATTAATATCTGTACCAGAATAATTTATGAGATTTTTCTTACATTTCTTCACTGTGATCGGTGTTAATCCCACTTCCTTCAATACTGAGAATGGAATGACGTTGGCTTCTGCTCTAGTATCCAGTTTAAACTTGATTAACCAGCCTTGAATTTGCAGCTCCTCGTACCACTGAATTGTCTTATTGAATGCTCTAGGCCCTTCTAGTTTGTTGACCTTGTTGCAGAATACAGCTCCTATAATATATAATATAGCTCAATTGCAATATCAAGTACCTCTGCTGATGTATTAATTGTATCGAAAACATCTCTGGCATCCTCACCAATAATGTGTAGAAATATTGCCAACTGTTCTTCTTTTTTTCTTTTCGATATCCCAGCAGCCACTTTGTAGATGTTGAAACTCTTCTTCCATTTTGGCCATTCGATATGCGCCTCATGGATGTTTAATTCTTACGGTGGTTTTAAATTATCCATTATTATCTAATTGATCCGTACGGTTTACCACTTTACAAAACACTGACCGACTGCGCCATGTCGTGTTTTAATTAATAATAATTTGGTTAAAACACATTATTGTAAGAAAAGGTTTTTTATTTAAATATTACGTTAATGATAAATCGACATGTTGTACGGACTACAGAGACGAGAGAGTATCTAACATAGAATAATATTACTTAACCTAACAAGTAACATGATAACAATACTACCACATAACCTAAACGGTTACATTGATAATATTATTTACCTAATCAACTATTATCATACACTCAAAATAAGCGTAAATAACAAAAGGAACCTTGATTTATTGTAATTTTCAAATTCAAGAGTTTTGTCAAAGAACCGAGGTGGTATTGCTTAGGCACATTTATTGTTTCTGCAATACTCATGATGCTCCTTCAAATCTTTAGTGTTAATGTGCGATACCTATCACACAATTCACGTCTATGTCCATCTTTTGTTTTTTATAAACGACTAATTTTCATAAATTTTTAATCTAGCAATAATGCTCATTTTCCTCTGTTAAGACAAAATAAATGTATATGTTTTACTTTCTTAATTTTAAATAATCGACGCAGAGGTTGTATGTTTATATGTTTTCATTGTCGTCTTTAACATACTTACAAAACATATTAAAATATATATTAGCTCTATTTCCAAATTCATCAATATTATCTAATTTAATATTGAATTTAATTCTAGTAAATGCCTCATTACATTTTTCTATCCGTTCTTTTTATCATGTTTAGAGACTTTTTGTGCAATCTTTTTTTCAAGTTGTAAGCAGCAAGGATTTATTAAAGTAAACATTTGCCTTTTCCTTAAAAGGAAAGTTTCATATGTAAATCTAAAACATATTGCAACTGTCTTTTCATTTTCTGTTGTACTTTTGATATATTTACAATTTATTAAAAATTCTATTTTTAAATCATCCAACTTATTTAAATGTTGTAAATTATAGTGGTAAATATCTTTCATTGTATTAAAATAAATAATAGATTCAATATTCATTTTATCCCTCTTTATAGTATATTTTCCTTATTTTAGTTCAATTATGTTACCTTCAAGTTTTAGTAAATAATCTGTCTGTTTCAATGTATATTAAATTTGAGGTAACATTTAAGCTAACAAATAAATTATCTCCTAACTAGGATTTTCTAATCTTATAATATTTTTAATAAAATATTTATATATATTTTTTTTAAATTTATAAAAACAATTTAGAAACGCATTATTATGCCTTATTACTTAAAGTTGTAATACCATTATAATATATATAACTAGTATTGTGGATTATTATTAACAAATTCAATTTCTTTCAGTCAAAAATACTTTGATATCTAAATTGTGTAATTTTTTTTAATTGTATTTTGATTAGACTAAACTTATTTGGTTGCATAAATATTTTCTTTTTTTTTCAGTTCACCTAAATTCTTAGATTCAATTTATTTTTAATACTTTCCATTTATTATAGAAAATATTTTTATTATTTTTATTCACAATATTGATTTCATTTTAAAAATAATTTTTACGAAATACATTAGTGTAATGTTTAATTTGTAAAATAAAAAAATCATTTAATAATTTTAAAGAATCATTTCTTATCTAAATAATTTATTATGAATTTTAATAGAGGTGAATATTTCTTTTGTAATCTAAGGATTTCCAGATATTTAAAAGAAGTAGATTTAGTGTTTAGTTTGTCCGCCGTGATTCAATAATAATATATTTTTCAGAAACTTAGTATATTGTATTTTTCTTTCATCTTCACCAATCATCGTTTTTGCTAAAATTGTTGCCACATTGTTTTGGTATTACCTCAGGTAATTTGTTGTGGTTTAGCATCAATTCGCTATTACATGACTAATTGTGGAGGGAATGGTAGTACATCCAGCTATTTATGTGTGAAAATAAAGATTGATTTCATTTTTACAATTTTTAAAATGTACATTTGGTATATCAAATGACTATAGTCGTTGGTTTATAATAGCTTTTAATGTATCAGCTCTCGCTTCCATTAGAAAAATATTATAGAAAAAAATTGTAGTTTCGGTTATTAGACTGACTTATTTATTTTATATGGACTTATAATATAATAAATAATGAATTAAAATATTCATTAGACAAAAATTTTTGAAAACTAATTGTGGTTTTGTTGTTATTTAGTAATATGGATTTTTTTTTTGAAAAACTACTTTTCAGGTAATATATGGTTGTAGTATCATAATAATATTATTTAATATTTATTTCTTATACTAGTTATGTTTTTTACGAGTTTTAAACTTATTAAAATCAATCCAAGTTTTTCAACATTTCAACATCAAAGGACTGATCATGGTTAAATTTGTATTTTATGTAATTTTTTCTGAACAGTATTGTTAAATGTTTCTGTAACAGTTTGATATTTAAAAAAAGATCGGAAAAAAAAAATAATGTTAAAAGTATTTTTTTGAAAAGATGTAAAATATTGAACCGTGCCAAGAATGGTAATATTTACCATTGGCTTATTTTCATTGATTTTTATTTTCCACCTATCTGTCTATAAGTTTATCGTGTTTAGGTTAGGTTAGGTGTCTTTGAATTGTCTGACTGATAGATTGTTTGGGAATCACTGTGTGATGCTGATATTAGAGTGTCATCCGCATATGTGCCAAGAAATGTGTAGGGTGTTTTTGGATGTCATGGGTGAACACAGAATACAGAAAAGGGGCTATGTTGCTACCTTGCAGGGCCCCTGCTCTTATAAGATAACGAGTTGAATAGCTGTTTTTAGGATGTACCGTAAAATATTGGTTAGGTAGATAGGATTTAATTAATAAAAAAATAGAGCGTCGGAAGAAACATTTTTATTATTATAGCTATTTTATAAACATATACATGTTTTTTTTTTCTAAGATTTTTATCAGTTAGAAATCTAATACATAAAATGTATAAAATTGATTATTATGCACATTTAAGAACCAAAAAATCATGTTTTTACGGAATCTAAATAAAAAAAAAAGATAAAAATGTTATATTGTTGTTGAATGATTTCATTTTTTTGAAGAACGTTTTTGGAAAAAATCTTCAAAATTGACTTTTCCAAAATCAATAAACTTAGAATGATCCAAAGCATCTAGTATTCATATATCAGTTAAGAAATTTTAATAATTTTATTATAATAATCAATAAGGTTAGTGACTTCGAGCATTTGCATGCTAAAATACTCCAAGTTTAATCTATGTTATTATCAAACTTTTCAGAATTGCTATAGACCTCAGATATCAAAATTTCTTGATTTTCCAGAATACTTTTTAAAGATAATATATACCTATATATATATAAAAGAAATAAAAGGTTTTTTTTTTTTTTTTTTTTATAGGATATATAATTTACTGATGTTGGGTGAATTAGTCAATTCCATTTTTAAGGTCATTAAATTAAAACTTTAATGTCAATAAAAATTGTATAATTTTATTATAGTAAAATTTTTTGAAAATTTTCAAAACTTTTAATACCTTAATTGTAGTTGTGTGCTCAAAACATGATGTTACTTTATTAGAAGACTTGCATCAAAATCTCATTATTATATATATCCATTTGCTCTTTTAGAGATATTTTGTAAAGTGATTCATCAAATGAAATAAAAAAGATATCAGATTCAAGAACTTCTGAGAATAAACTCTCAGCAAAATACTTTCTTATCTATATTTTGTTAAATATGTGATCAATATGTTATCACAGAAAAATATCAAACATTTTCTATAAATAACTACATAAACAATGTAACGGAAAAATTTAAACCGAGTGATGCGATCTAGTTTCTAGTGAGAGTATTTAATAAAATATTAATAATATGTCATTGACATACCCACTACACTTGTGCATGGTGTAAAAGAATATACTAAAGCTAATAAGCTAATAAACAAATTTAAAATTTCCTGATATTTCTAGGTTTTCCAGGCAGCAATCCTGTTATAACAATGTTAAAACGTATTTAAAATAAAAATGATGTAGTGAAAAAAGGATATCTTTTGCTGTAATGCTGTCAGATAATGCTTGGCATTGGGCTTCCATTTCTGGTGACAATTCAGGCCCATCATCCTGAAAAAAAGTTCATATTTTCATTAATATGTATGTCAATAATTGGATAGCTCAAATAAAGAGGATAGTAAGTAACTCAAAAGATATTGAATATGAATTGCTGCTTCATTTTCTCTTAAAAAAGGCAACAAGTTATTTGAATGATTCAATTCATTATCATTTATTTCGTTCATGTGAACGAATTAAACCAAATGACTACCTACCGAGTCAAAAGATCTTATCAGGCTATAAAGGTTGCAATTCTGGTTCATTCAGTAAAAATATTGTATACTTGAATTATATGAACAGATTTTATTTTTCGATGTAGAACAGGGGTGGCCACAACGAGGCTCGCGAGCCACATGCGGGTCTTAAATCAGTTTCACGTGGTTCTTGAACCAAGTTTAAACTAAAATTAATAAATATATAATTCCATTAGGAACATTTAAGTGAACTTATGTGAGCTGCACTTATAAATATCAGCTGGATTTCAAAAAACTTGCAGAAAAAATGAACACTCGAAAAAGCACTTTTCATAAGTAAAACAACAATAATATTAATAATTATGTTTTGTGTAGTGTAAAAAATAAATGTTCCTTCATTTGATTTAAAATGAAAAATGTGTCTTCATTTTATAAACATTGCTTTACTATGTGGCTTGCCTCGAATTAGCTTCATAAATTTGCGGCTCAAAATTAAGATTAGTGGCCACCCCCGATATAGAATGTACTTCCAGACACGTGGCCAGGGAGTCGATGGAGCCTTGGTACTTTGATTTTCTACAGATTATGTTTGAACCCCCTCTCCTCAATAAAAAGAAAATTTTGGTTACATACCTGTGTACTTTGTGATTAAGTCAGTTATTTATAATAATAATAAAATAACCACAGATATTAAACATTTGAATAAGCATTAAACACCAATTTATCCTTAAACAACTACTAGATAAGATACAATAAATAAATAGGTTAAAATTAAGTAGACTGTTAAAAAAAAATATAAATTGCTTCAATTGAAAAATTTAAATAAATTGAGAATGTCTTTTTCCTTTCAGGTATCAAATAAAAAACTAAACCTAGACAAAAGGTTCCTTTAAGTACTTCAGGTACCTTGTAGAACATTAAATATTTACAATATTTATGATCTTTCTACTACTTTGTGACAAAGTGCAATTAAATGTTGTAATCAGGCATATTAATGTAAGTAGAATTTACGTAGTATATAAGAACTTATAGGAAAGGCAATCCAGGACAGAATAAAATTTATAGTAGAGATGTCACCAATTATTTCTATAGCGAACAAATTAATAATACATTTATTTAGGTTTATAGGAAATATGAAAATATTAAACACCTAATAGGTGATTATTACACGAGTTGATCTAGCAGTCTGACACCCAATTTATTTAAACTCTCCTAAAAAGATTTCTGTCTGCAAAACACTTTTGAAGTCACCATATTGTATACCTAATGCTGCTATATAAAAGCATTTGCATGACAAAAAAAAAAGAAAATTAAAATGAGGGTTCAATCAGTTGGAGGTTGACAATATTTTTGAGGAACCACGACTCCATCTAAATTTAGGTGGATAAGTGAGTAAGGTAAGACATTTCTATTTTTTAATAGTTTAACAATAATTGAAAAGTAATCAAATTTTATAAAGATTAATGAAAAAGAAAATCATGCTAGAATGTACAGGCTTTTTATTGGGTGTATTCAAACAAAATTAATTGGTGGCCAGTGGTTGACTTGTATAAATCTTGGCGCCTTAGGTAAACATAATTCAATACTCCAATGGTTCTAATTGTAGATACAGTATTTTGCGTATTTTGCTTTTTAACACCCTTAGCTATTTTTTATTATTACTACTTTCAGAATAATATTGTTTTCAAAAAAATAATAACTATCAAATAGGTAGATATTTTTACAGTTACACATTATTTAATATTTTTACAAGTAACAAATTAAAAAAAAAATCATTGGAAACAAATATGCTAATCAAGGCTTTAGTCTACTTAAATTCGAACAAGTTCACTTTACCGGACACCTTTTATTTTTATTTTTAAACCATATATTTTTTGATGCTGATTACGCAACTTTTTGAATTTTTTTTCATGAAAAACCATAAATGATAATAATGATGAAATCATTATTAAAGAAGTTATGGAAGTTCGTTATTATTACGATTTTGGCTTAAATACCTATTTATTTTCCATTCATTTATTTAGAATTGACCGTGGCGAAATTGGGTAACGCGTTAGGTGTAAGAACTGGGGTACCAAGTTAAATATTTTTCTATGTGTAGTTAAATTATTGTAGTACTTTTTTATTGTAAATAACCCTCGATTTGTTGTTTAAAACCATGTCGGGTAGGTATTAAAGAAAAGTGAAAAATCAATTTTGGCGAAATAAAAATATTTAAATCACATACGGAAATTAGATGTTATTTTTTTATTCCAAAAAATGTGCAAAGATTTACTGCGCATTGGGCGTGATATCGAACTCGATACCATAGTTAGTATAAGTAACTCGTTTCCCAATGAACAACGGTCAATTCTAGATAAACAAATAGAAAATAAATAGGTATATAAGCTCAAACCATATTAACGACAAATTTCAAGCTTCTTCGATGATTTCCGTAAAAAAAAAAAATTAAATAGTTTCGAAATCAGCGTGGAAAAACACATGGTTTAAAAAAAGAAAAATTTAAAAACAATGGGTGTCCGGTAAAGTAGACTTACACCTCGTTACTTAGTAGTTATCATATACCTACTCAATAATTGATGGGGCAACACTCATCAAATTGATGAAACAGTTACATAAAAACTAAACAAGTTAACATAACTTACCATATTGTTAAAATCGATCAAAGAATTATTGCCATTGTTGTCAGTGAATGTGCGACCGTGTTCATTAAAATTGAAGCTCATCTTGAGTTTTGTCTGCTTCTCAAACGGTGTTTTTCCTATATACCAATGCGATCAAAGTAATAACAAAAAGAGCGTCTTGCAGGCGATTAAATAATCGGGTTTCCGAGAGAAGTCACGCTAATTTGATGAGTTGCAAACGATTTAACACGTCTACTCGATAACAAAACGCTTTGTCATGGGACGCTATTCGCTGTACAACAGTGCTGCCAAACTTGGTAATCCAAGTAATGGGAGTAACCCAATAATGGGGGGGGGGAAATTCCTAAAAGATCATATTTTTATCTAAAAGATCGTACCAAAAAAAACTTTATGAAAAATTGTAAAATAGAAGGGAGCGCGTAAAAATGTTCAAACCTTGCATGTACAAATCTGGAACCCACAATTCTTGAAAATGCAAACCTGGAATGTATAAAACTTGAAACATAATTTTCCATTACTCCAGTGTCACCAATTTATGGACTAAAAACGTATACGTCTGCGACCGAAAGCCATTATTTGAAAAATTGTTAGAAAAAACAACACACATTAGCCCTACCTTAATTACGCTTGGAACATTAACTTCCTAGAAGTTCTTATCAGTGTCAGAGATCGGCTAGAGACTACCATATCTTTTTTTTAACAAAACAATTATTAGGTGTTCTTAATAAGTACAAAGGTAAAATTTGCAAAATTGGAATATATATATATATATATATAAAATTGTGTATAGAGTAATTCAGATTTTTTTGTAAGTAGTTTATGACACTGAATTAGTAGACAATTATTTTTCAAGATTTGTACACTTCAGATTTTTACACACGGTCTTAGAATGTAAGGTCAGGCAAGTATCGATGGAACACACGCTTTTATTACGGGGAAAATTCGGAATTGGTATAGTGCTGCGCTCTATTAGTATAATTTTTTTTATATCATGAAATCTATTATCATAAACATAAATCAGTAATTTATTCATGAACAAAATTATTATTCTGAGACAGTGTCATAGACATTAGTTTTCTCATCTCTATTCCCTCCATATTCTATATAGTTAATAATTCTAAATATAACTTAATAAAGACTCATTAATGAGCACCGGTGCACCAAATATTGCATTTGTATCTTTGAAGTTTGAATATCAATACAAAATGCTTAAAGTATGTTTTATTTGCAAAAAAAAAAAATAAAATAAAGAAATTATTTTGAAGTAACAAAACAAAGACTTACAAGCTGGAGTAAGTGTATTGATGGGTTAAATGTGGGTCATAGAATTTGTGAATCATTTGTCCCCAAATAAGATAACCAAAGTAAAACTTGTGAAGGACTGCTTAGGAAATGTCATCACTAAAGTAAGATTATTTAAAATTAGATTTATTAGTAGGGCTCGAATTTATATGTAACTACATAATATGTAGTTATTTAATATTATTATTATTATTTAACTATTTTCTCTGTGATATAAATTAATTTTGGCAAGTAATAAATTTTTTTCAAGTAATTTTCGATTAAATGAGGTATATTTGATTTAAAACAACATCTTTATGAACAGTTTCTAAACCTCATTTGACTATAGTTTTATACAGTGTGTTGATTCTTAGCGCACTATTCGTCGGACTAGAAATAGGTATCACATTTTTTTTATGCACAGAATGCAATAAAGAAACTCGATAGTATTCACTTTATATTGTATGATTAAGTAGTGTTGTATTGGCAATTCAACCGAGTGGCAACCAATTTAAATTTAGTCTATGTGTGGAATCTTGTACATAATATACATATATATATATTTCTTTAGTATAATAGACCATTTAGGCCCTTTGATGCAAATACCAAATTTTTCTACTCCTCTCAACTGTACATTTGTATGCATGGTTTAGGTTCCCATGCTAATCAGGTTTTAACTCTTACATGTCTTTTTTGACAATATTATCTAACCATCGTTGTTTTGGTCTACCGAGTGGTTTTTTCCTGTTTAATTCATTCACAACTACCTTCTTGGCAATACTGTTATCGGCTTTCCAGATGTGACCTGTCTACTCCAGTCTTGAACCTTTTACAAATTGTATTGTACTATTTACACAAGTATAAATAATTTGAGGTGTAATTTTACAGAAATAATGCAGTTACACCTAGTCAAAAATTGTTGATGACATTAAGATATTGTACTACTAGTTCGTTTATAATAATGTGTGCGGATTTTGCTAGCATTTATAAAACTACTGCTAAATAAATTATAAAAGAGGTATCGGAGACCTTAGCAGGACTTGTACGAGATTTCATAAGTTTTTCAATAGCTGATACTGAAATACGTCAAGTTCAACAGGATTTCTTCAATATTGCTAAATTTACATCATGCATAGGAGCGATAGATTGTACTCGCATCAAAATAAGTTCCCCAGGTGGTAATGATGCAGAAATATTTTGGAACAGGAAACAATTTCTTTCAATTAATGTACAAACTGTTTGTAATGAAAATTTGCGTCTATAAAACATTGTTGCTAGGTGACTAGGTAGTAGTCACGATTTTAAAATATTACGGAACTCTGCTATTAAACAACGCTTTGATAATGGACAGTTTAAAGATTGTGTTTTAGTAGCTGACAGTGGTTAGCCAATGCAGTCTTATATTATTACACCAATGTTACAACCAATTACAAATGTTGAAAATCTTTTTAATGAAGTGCAGATTTGTATTAGGAATCCTGTGGAGTGATCATATGGAAATGTCGATTTCCTATATTGGGTTTGGGAATAAATGTCATAAGCTTAGATACAGTACACACTATTATAGTGTCAACTGCTGTACTGCACAATATTGCTTGTTAATTTGGAGAGGAGTAGCTTAAAGTAATTAATTTGCAAGGCAAGCACATCAAATTAATTTGACATTATTTTGTCAACAACCTTATGCTATAAATAATCAAGGAAGAAATCAGTGTATGAATAGAAAACGCTTCTAATGCAAGTATTCCCATCTCCGTAGCATGTTTTTCAGCTTGAAATCTTATACTATCTTATACTTCATTTTTTAACAGATCCTTCAATTCTTCTTCTTGACTCATTTTTAATTTTCCTATTTCTTTTTTAAATTCATTTACTTCCTTTTAAAAAGTAGCCTCCAATGAAGCCTTTCCTTGAGCCTATATATAAAACTTGACCTGGAAGGCTTTTCTCTTCTTTGTTGGGCCTGAAATAATTTATAATTCACATAGTTAATTACTATAATGCGATAAACAAATACTAAATAAATACATTTCCTAATAATAGATCACTGCGTTATTTCCCTTGTTTTTGATTTTAGGGGTTTCTATTTTATTTTTTATTTTGGCATTCTAAGCATACCAGACGTGTACTTTGCTCTAAGTTATATATAAGCTATAAGTTCCTTATAATAATATATGATCTATAATTGTATGAGTTACTTTTAAATCAACTGAACTCCACTCAGAATCGTTTTTTGTTAGCAATGATTCATTGTTGCTTACAGATATACATTAAATTATTTTCTGTATCCTACCTTTTCAACTTCCCACCTACAGCAGTGGCTGCACCTGTCCCCATTAGTCTAGTACAGTTTTTTTTAAGATGGGTTTAAACCAAAAAACTCACTGGGGGTTTTTTTTTAGGACTGAGCTTTTATTAGCCAACCCAATGTATTACATCTATAGTTATGATATATATTGTTATTTAATTATAAGTTTGTTATTGAATTTTCAGATATAACATACATAAAGTATGTGTCTCTTCTTCTTAAGTCCATCTTCCAAAAACGGAAGTTTGGTGACCCATCAATTGACGTTGGCAATAATCTCTTTCCAAAGCTCACGGTTTTCTGCCGATCGAATGGCCTCTTCCAGGGGATAGCCAGTGATGGTTTTCATCTGGTCTATCCAACGCATTGGTGTTCTTCCGCGGCTCCTTTTCCCTTCTATTTTTCCTTCAATTATCAGTTTCTCCAGGCNCCAAAGAACCTTAGGATCACTAAGTGTGTGCTTACACACTACTGCCAGTCTTGTTTTCACATTTAGCACGGCCAGAATTGAGAAGTTGGTCCTCCTTTCCATCCAAGCAATTCTCAACATCCGCCTGTAGGCTCACATCTCAAAGGCGTTTATGCGCTTTACATCTTCTACTTTAAGTGTCCATGTTTCGGACCCATAGAGCATCACTGAGAAGGTAAGTGCCTTAAGTAGTCGCAACTTGCTATTCCTGGAGATATGATTATCTTTCCAAATTGGTAATAGCCTGCTAACTGCTTCTCTCCCAAGTGTAAGGCGACGCCTTATCATTCTGGATGATCCACCATCTGCTTGTACAATTGAACCTAAATATATAAACTCACTCACTTTTTGGTAGCCGTTCAATACATTGGTGTGTAGTAATACTCCTGCTCGATCTATAACCATAACCTTTGTCTTGTTCCTGTTGATTGTCAGTCCATACTTGTTGCTTGCTTCTTCAACACGCTTTATTAGTTGGTTCATCTCCGGTTCAGACTTGGTACATAACGTGGTGTCATCCGCGAACCGTAAATTTTTTATCTTTCTACCTCTAATACCCACTCCACCATTCCATTCCTGGAGTGCCTCTCTCAATACTGCTTCACTATAGATATTAAAGAAAATAGGTGACAGAATGCACCCTTGTCGAACACCCTTGGTAGGTTGGAATTGATCTGATACTGCATCTTGTGCTCTGATTACTGCCTTCGATCCAGTGTACAGTTTCGTGATTAAATGGATGATATGTTCAGGGACTCCCATTTCTTGCATAACAATCCATAGTTTCCTCCATTGTACACAGTCAAAAGCTTTGTTATAGTCAATGAAGCACATTACCAATGGTTGATTGAATTCTCTACTCTTCTCTATGAGCTGGCTCTAGTCAAGATTTGTTCACATGTTCCTCTACCTTTGAGAAATTCAGCTTGTTCCGGCGGTATTTGACTATCTACGTAGTACCTCAGTTTTGTATTAATGACATTCAGTAGGACTTTGGAGGCGTGTGAGATGAGAGAGATGGTGCGTTAGTTGCTGCAGTCTTCAGTAGATCCTTTTTTATGAAGTGGTATGAAGATCGATTCCACCCAGTCTTCTGGCCAGGCTCCCGTGGTCCAAACCTCATTGCACAGTTTCCATAAGATCTTTACTCCTTTATCTCCAGATAGTTTCAGCATTTCTGCAGTGATTTCATCTGATCCAGGTGCCTTATTATTCTTCAACCTTGACACTGCCTGTTCAATTTCTTCTGAGAGAATTCCTGGTTCCTGTTCACCATACGTGATTCCATTGCCAATGTGCTCATCTGGGTCTGTGTACAGCTTTTGGCAGTAATTCCTCCAGAATTCCAGAATGCTGTCTGGGTCAAAGTATGTGTATGATTATATTATATTTAACTCAAATTATCTTCTTCTTCTTCATCGGTTTTTAAAAGGCCATTGAGGCCCATTACCACAACACAAACTTGCTCCATCTGTCTCTGTCCTGGGCTATTGTTTCTCCATCTCGTATTCCAATCTCTGCTAAATTCTTCTCCACCTTGTCAATCCACCTTTGTTTCGGCCTGCCAAGTGGTCTTTTTCCCTGGGGTTTCCATTTTAAAACCTCTTTCATAAGACCATTTGACCTCCATACATGACCGGCCCATGCCATTCTCCTATTTTTTAATACTGCTACTATGTCTGGCTCTTTATATAATTGTTGTATTTCTATATTATTTCTTTTCTCATATTGTCGTGTCATGTTATTTATTTTTGGCCCAAATATTCTTCTTAATATTCTTCTTTCGAGTATTGCTAATTTGTCTTCGTCTCCTTTAGTCGTTGGCCATGTTTCACACGCATATAAAAGGACTGGTCTGATAATTACCTTGTATATTATAATTTTTGATTTGAGTGATACACGTGATAGCATTTATTTTCTGCAGTTAGTCTTATTTTAATTTCATCGTGATTATTATTTTTGCTATTTATTGTAACACCCAGGTATTTAAAATTTTGCACTCTTTCAAATTTATAATTCTCAACTTCTAAATTTTCCTCGTGATTTTCTCGCCTAGATATTACCATATATTTGGTTTTTCCTTCGTTTATTTGTAATCCAATGTCTTTGCTGTTTATTATTAGTTCTTTGGTTCCTGCTTTGACTTCTTGACTGTCTGATCCCAATATGATAATATCATCTGCGTACGCTAGTACTCNTTTAAAATTTTGCACCCTTTCAAATTTATAATTCTCAACTTCTAAATTTTCCTCGTGATTTTCTCGCCTAGATATTACCATATATTTGGTTTTTTCTTCGTTTACTTGTAATCCAATGTCTTTGCTGTTTATTATTAGTTCTTTGGTTCCTGCTTTGACTTCTTGACTGTCTGATCCCAATATGATAATATTATCTGCGTACGCTAGTACTCCGCATTGTCTTCTGTTCTCTTCCAAGTTTACCCCACCATATTTTTTTTGAGTTTTTCTAACTACCATTTCTAATGCTATATTAAAGAGTATTGGGGATAGGGCATCTCCCTGTCGAAGTCCAGTCTTAACTTCAAATTCATCTGATATATGTTGATTGAATATAACTTTACATCTAGTTTTATTCATACATAATTTGATCATTTTCACTATCTTAGCTGGTATCCCAAAGGTTATAAGTGTGTCCCATAGTACTTCTCTATTAATTGAATCATAAGCCTGTTTATAGTCAATAAATAGTAGATGTAGATCATTGTCGAATTCGTAATGTTTCTCAACTAGTTGTTTAACAGTGAAAATGTGATCTATGGTGGATTTACCATTCATAAAACCACATTGGTAGTCTCCAATGATATCTTTTATGTAAGGTTTTATTCTGTTTAGTATGAGACCTGACAATACTTTGTACATTGTATTTAGCAACGATATTCCTCGGTAATTTTGGTAGCTTGACCTGTCTCCCTTTTTATAAATTGGACAGATTATTGCTAGTTGCCATTCTTTTGGTATTTCTTCTTTATGCCATACATCTCTGATTAATTTCCCTACTTCACATATTAATTCTTCACCACCATACTTTAAGAGTTCTGCAGCTAAGCCATCTTCACCTAGCAATTTATTGTTTTTAAGTGTGTTTATGGTTATTCTAACTTCGTCGTCCGTTGGTTCTACATTTTCAGGTTCTGCTGTATAGTACTCAATTTGCGTATGGTCTTGGTGCGTTTGTGGGTTGAGTAGTTCCTCGAACACTTTCCCAAATTGTTTTGCAATTTCTTCTCCTTCTGTTACAAGTTCTCCATTTTCTTCTTTCATTATCTCTGTTCTGGGGTTATACCCCAGAACTCAAATTATATCCACTCAAAATAAACTAGTTTCAACTGTAAATACTTTCTCTGATAAATTTTCATCACTTATCGAAAAAATTAATGATTTATCTGCCCAATTACATACTCTTTCATCAGAAATAGAGCCCTTAAAAAGTAAAGTTGGTAACATCAAAATCAAATTGAAACCAACAATTACAACATCTTCTGGTTCAAATGATATGATAAATAATGAAATAATATCTGAATTGATTGACAGATAAAATCATATGAAAAATGCACTTCTTTTTAATCTACCTGAATTAAATGATTCAAATAACCAAACATTGGATCTTGAATTTATTCAAGATATTATTAATTTTTTAAATCTAACATCTTCACCAACTCAAATTTCTTATCTCTGTAAACTTTCTTCCTTTACTACCAAACCAAGACCAATTAAACTTTGTTTTCCGAGCCAACAATCTTCTTAATTCATTTTCCTTGAAAATTAAGCTTTTCTTAGTCTATACTAAATTAATACAATACCAAATCACAATGGTTATATGCTTGATCTCATACTATCTATATGTCCAACTCATTCTATAACTTTAAATAAAAATTCAATTGTTCCTATAGACAGTTATCATCCCCTTTTAAATGTTTGTTATAACCTTCCCCCCCCCCCTTCTCTTCCGTATTTTGAAATTACATATGACTGGTCTAAATATAGCTATATTAACATTCCTTGGATCAATTAATTGGACTTAATTTTTTAAACTAAATAACAATACTTCCATTTTTATCAATGAATTTTACTTGCTTTTATATTATACTATCAGTTCTTACATTCCTATAAAAAGCAAATCTAATAAAATTAATAAAACAGAAACAAATTTATCATTTTATCTATAAGATGTCTAACTGTAGCAGTGATAATTTAAAATTTTCATCAACTCATTCTAAATGCAAAGCACTTTCAATTCGAAGATTGGTTAAATTATTAATGGTGTTTCTCTCCACTTATCTCTGTCACTTATAATCCTCTTCATCTCACAGTATGTTCCTATTACGGTATCTTCCATCACCTGCTTCAGAAATGGAGTTCTGGGCCTTCCTCTTCCAGGTTTTCCTTCGATTTTTCCCTCTATTATTGTGGTTATCCAAGTACTATTCCTTATTACGTGTCCGATCCATGCTTTCCTCCTCAGTCTTAGCGTATTCCATATTGATTTTTNTTCTGTTTGAAGTAAAAAGATTTCTCTTTTTATAATAATAGGCCTGTTTAGCCTGCGCTATTCTACATACTATATCTGTATGGCTTTTCCCATTGCTTGTAATTTTGCTCCCCAGGTATGTGAAACTTTGAATTGTCTCCAACAATATTCCATCTAGAGTTATATTTGCATAAATCTGCTGTTTTCTACATATAAGGATCTTGGTTTTCCGTTTTTTCCTTGTAATTTGTTTGTTTTCCACTTTTTGAAGGCTTAGATTTGATTCCAGTATGACTAAATTACGATCACTATCTATGTCTGCTCCAGGGAAGCTTTTGCTTTGTTTTACTTGATTTCGGTATCTTTTCCTAACAAGGATGTAGTCTATTTGATATCTGGTTTCCCCTCCTGGCATAGTCCACGTGTACCTTCTACGCTTAAATAACATGCAAAATTCATTGAAATCTAAATCTAGCAAGTTATGGTCTTATTAAAAACTTGAAATCAACAGCTGGATTACCTAACACTATGTCTCTTAACCTTCAAACAGCTGTCAATGGTGAAGATATTGTTAATTTATTCAGTAGTTATTTTTCCTCAGTTTATAAAGAAAGAATTAATTCCAATAATATCTTTACATCTTATGATGTAATTGAATCTCCTATTATAATAAATGAACTTCACATTGAACTACTCAATGTTTTACATGAATTAGAAAACCTAAGTTATAAAACAACTATCGGACCAGAAGGCCTTTCTCCTATATTTTTATCCAACTGTGGGTTTGTATTTGCTCCTTCCATCACATATACATATATCACATGTATCTTCAATACCTCTAAAAAATAGGATCTTTTTCTTTTTTATGGAAATCAACCTTTGTTTATCCTATCTTTAAAAAAGGAAATAGATCCATAGTTTTAAATTATTGCCCAATATCAACAATTTCTATTTTTCCTAAAATATTCTTCAAAATTATAAATTCAAAATTACCCCCTTCTGTAAGAATATTTTTGTACCTGAAAAACAGTTTTTGTAATCATAAATCATCTATTACTAATTTAATAACCACTAAATACCACATTCTAAACTCTTTTAATAATCATCAGTAAACAGACATTATATATACAGACTTCGAGAAAGCTTTTAATAGAATTAACCACAAATTACTAATTAATAAACTTACCAAGATTAACTTCATTCATCCCTTATTATCCTGGCTTGATTCTTTTTTATCTCAACGAACCCAATATGTTAAATTCAGAAACATATATCCGTTACTTCTGGAGGTGATCACCTCTCTTCAATACTATTTAACTTATTTATAAATGATGCTGCTCTTTCAATTGCACATTCTAACATTCTTTTATTCACTGATGACGCTAAAATCTTCAAATCCATCACATCTATTGAAGATTGCACATTACTACAACATTATTTAAGAAGATTTAATGAATGGTGCACTCTTAATGATCTCTCTGTAAATACTAGTAAATGTCAAGTTATCTCATATTCAAAAAAACGCAAACCAATTAACTTCAATTACTGTTTATTGAATTTACTTATGTTAATCTACTTTGTTCTTCTTTAGTCAAAGGCTTAGGTACACTGTTTGACTAATAATTATTATTCCATACCCATATTCTAACTATCCAAAATAAAACTCTATCCTTGTTTGGTATGATTAAACGCAATTGCTCAGAATTTAACGATCCTTTCACTTTTAAATGCCTTTAAACTTTTCTTATATTATCTTATAGGATCGTTAAAAACTTTTCTTATATGATCTTTACTTGAATATGCTTCTATCATTTGGGATAATAATAGCATTGGTCACAATAACCATCTTGAAAAAGTTCAAAATAAAGTACTTCCCTTTATATGCTATAAATGTAGTATTGATAAAAATTTCCACACTGGTTACAAAAAAATTCTAGGAATCTTAAAAATGGATTCTATAAAAGTATGTAAAATTTCTTATTATAACTCCTTTCCCTCTAAACTATTAAACAAGTACCTAGTCATAACATTCAAAATAATCATTTATTTTACATCCATCCGGTTTCCTAAAACTACATGTCAAAACACTATATTTTAATATATCAATTAATCAATATTTTAAAGTCTCATGGTAACATGTTAAGAGAATGAAATAATAAATGAACACTAAATTTGTATTAACATGATTAACTACTTTCAAACCAAACAAATGTAAAAATTGTAAGTATAAATGAAGATATTAATGGGTCCATCAATGATTAATTAGAAGAAAATATTTTAAAATCTGATAATCATGGTACATGACATGAACATTTAAATAATACAAATATGGAAATATTAACAATGGACCATTATATTCAAGTGAAAAATCATAACTTTTTTCTAGATAAAATGAGCAAAGTAATTTCAGAACTTTACTGTCACCGTAATATGAATCATAATGAAGATATTATTATTATTATTATTTTATTTATTGAATAATTACAATCTATACATATTTAGCACAATAAGTAAAAGAGATAAACATAATTTTTTTTCTTAATTTAAGTGGCATTAGAAGGGAGGCTATCCAATGATAGAACCCAACAAAATAATATTTGACCCTAGTTATTATATTGTATTATTAACAATAAAGTTTATTGAATATAAAATGTTTGGAATTCAACCCAACTATGATAAGTGGTCAGATATAAAAATGGGAGAGGACTAAATAGTCAGAGTAGATTATCTGGGCCATTTGAAGTTTTGGAAAGTGAAGAATGTAACTTAAGTAAAATGTCTACAGGAAAAAATGTTTGTATATCAGATTGCAATCTTATGGTGTTAGTGAACAGTGGTATTAAGAGGGGACCAATGTTTAATTAAATAATAATATCATTATTAGTGTGAATGACATATTTTGACTGAATACAGTTATAATACAGTTATACTAAAATCATATAGTTGACTCCACTATAAATAAATCAATTAAATCACATTAACCTTAAATTCAATATTATAACTATAAGTAGAATCTCTATCATGTTTAAAAACATTATTTAATTGATCAGCTTGTTTAAAACATTATAATGGAAATCAGATATAACTGGGACAAATATTTATATGCATTAGTCTTTAATAATTGAATAAGGTATGAAAAATATATAATATAATAAGTACCAAAGGATTAATTTTCTACTGAATTTGTGGTTCTTCTATAAACAATCGAAATACCAATATGTATTACGTACAGTAATGACAGCAAAATCTGGATGTTTCATTGTTAGTTAAATAGCTCAATCAGAAACTAAATTATAAATATGTACCCTGCACAATACTTATAGATGAAAACATAAACTACTGATGACATCTAATGTAATAACAGTCTGAAAGTAGCAAATTTTAAAACATAGTCAAGAATAAATTTTATGTAGATACATAGATACATATTAAATTTGAAACATTTTAATATAATTTTAAAATGAAAATGATTGAAAATTCAAAGTAAAAGTAATAATACAACAAAATACAACAAGTATTTTGTTAATAACTATGTAATAATACTAATAATATTAAATCAAGATTATAAAGTACCAGATTGATGAAATCCATGTTAAGGCCTTCACATAATCAATTAATTTGTTAAGTGATTCGATCTCTTTGTAGTTCTTTCATTTTGTTATCTTAAAAATATGTTATAGTTATTAAGATATTATTCATATTGAACATAATAAAATAAATAAGTATGTATTAAAAGAATAATAAAATAAAAATAAATTACTAAATTTTTCAATAAAAAGTTTTGTCTTTTCTG